GTCCCCCAAATTTAAAATTTTTTTTTTTTTTTTTTTTTTTTTTGGTCAATATGACACTCTAGCAAAACTATTACGATACATTTTTTTTTTTTTAATGTTCTCAAACGAAAATATATAAGTTGAATCAGGTATTATAGAGTGCACTCAGGCATAATCCCAAACTCAACCTCAACCCCAACCCGACTCCTCAACACCCCCCACAGGGAAAAAAGAAAGAAAGAAAAAAAAGAAAGAAAGATAGAAGAACAATAGAAAGAAAATAAGGAATTTCTCAAGGGTAAATTCTGGTCCTGTACGCATTAGCTTCTTTGGAAATCAGTCAGGTCCCACTCCTACCACCTCTTATGGCATCTACATAATATCACCTTTTAAAGTGTCTCATGTGCGTAGTCCTTCAAAAGAATCAAAACTATAATTTTAAAGTGTTTTCTGTGCTTAGAAGAATTCACTAATTGATCCCAAATTTAGTGAACTTAGCAAATATTCATTATCAGCCAGAGGGTGTATGACATGAGATTTGAGATGATACACAAATCCAAATTACAGATGCTAGGCTTAGAGAAGAACACAGAAATGGAAAATTGCACAAGTTCCTGTGAAATTGGGTTATTTTAAATGTGCATGCATATGTCCACAATGCTTAGATGTTAGAAAATCGACTGCACTATCTGGCTATTCTTATTCACATATTTCGATTTTTTAAAAATTTCAGAAAAGACATTTGTTTCTATAATTGTCCTCGTCCTGGTCTGTAAAGAGAATTCAACAACAAGAGCTAGGAAACCTCGTCTTCTAATGGCAATATTTGTTCTGCTTCTTGAACAGAATCTGAAATTTACAGTAGATATTAAATCAACTTGCCATATGTTTTACTATCAGAAACACACTTTAGCTATATTTATCAAGAAAAACAATTTAAATAATGAAGCAGGATGCTATCCCTTCTGTGCATTTCTTGCATCTCAGTTTACATGATGATGACAAGTAAATTTTGTCTTATTATTGAAATAAAGTTTATACACGTGCCCTATTGCAGTGAATCGTAAGATTTCCAAAACTCCACCAGCTTTCATGCTTCCATCCACCTAATACATAGCCAAGGGTCAACAGATATATGCCACTCAAATATCATCAAGGGAAGATATAGTTTAATATAAATAGCATAATCTTGAAGAAAACATTCCCTTTTCCTATTCCTGCTTCTCCCTTCACTCAATTTATATATGACCCAACGATTCATTTCCTTAATTTCTGAACGTAATTAAAGTGGCTTTTTTATTCATTTTCCGAATTCTTTCAGTTATTATTGTGATTGCATTTCATTTCCCAACATATTCAAGCACGAAATCATTAAACACTCATAACACAAGATATATACCCTTGTATCTCCACATATTTAATTTAATATTAGAACTTATATCCCTTTCAAGATGTAGTATAGCGACTCACAGCCAACATTTATTCATTTAATTGTAAAATAGCTTAACACCATAACATTAGTAATAGAACTCCTCAAAGCCTCTCTGAAGGTAACTAAAGTTGGCTACATTGTGCTGAAAAGTGGAACTAATTTTCATCCGTAGATTAATTCAATTTACATGGATTAAATATTTACGAGATAAGAGTAATTTCAAACAGTTGCAAAATATAAATGAACACTGTAGGGAGAAATAAATAAACATAAATTTCTCGATAAATGCAAGAAATCATATTCAAAAAAAGGTTGAACCCCAACCTCGAGGGTATCCACCGTCCCGCCCCTGAAGCATTGAAATCATATTCATGTTATGGAAAACCTATAAGTACTCATGTAGACAAGTCATCTGAAAATAAGAAATCTTCAGCAAAGCATATGAGACCAAATTTTTATCTTCCATCCTCTTTCCTAATAAGTCTTGTGCTAGTGCCTGAAAAGGCGAAGGGCGTGCATATAACCATGCACCCAACCAAGAAGGATGAGAAGCAAACAAAAAGAGAAAAAATCACAAATACACACATATAAGAGGATGGGGAAGAAGTACAAATCCTATGTTTTTAAATGGAGAAATGTATTATAAATGTTAAAGAAGATGTCAATTTTGTCAAAAATGACCGTCAAAGATGTCCAAAATGCAGTGGATTCGACCTTTTTGTATACTTTCAAAGAAGAAGAATCTTAAGAAGATATGACATGGTTTCTTGAACTAGTGCGAGCAACCATACCTATGAAACCAAAGACATGCTTGCCCATATGGACAAATTAGCTAATGACAAAGTAACCTAAGGATATTTATCACAAATTGCAGTTCGACGAGTAAAATAAAAGGGAACAAAAGTTGAGTTGCTGAACATAATTGAGAAATTTAGTTGTTGGTTCACAATATCAAGTCCACAAGAGTGTCTGATACAAGAGGATCTTCATGTGGCAGGTTGCTAAATACATGACTAATTTTGGGAAGAATAGGGTATTAATATATAAATATATGTACTTTATTGATTTCTCAATTTTGCAAGATTAAAATACCATTTCAAACAGTCATTTAACACTGTGTGAGTAAAGCTCAAGAGAGCAAATCTTTTTACTTCAAAGTTTTTCTTAGTATTTCTTAAGTGTGCGCCGTCCTACCTTCCAACTGGTTGCGCCACTCAATCAATTTGTCACATATTTAGCTAATGAAGCGGCAGGGTTAAGAAAATTATCCAATAATATTTATTTTCTAGTTCTACATCGAATTCCATATTGAGTTTACTACGAATGTGCTGAGCCTGGATCTCATTAGCTTGGCCCAACCAGGTCAATGGACGGGAAATAGCCAGGCACTGGAGAACCAAGCTCGGTCTCATTATTGAAAGCCCGCAAACCAATTCGGTATGTTAACAAGAAAACAATTAAGAACATGAATTTACTGCCTTTTCGTTTTGTGTTGGGCCATTCACTAAAACACGAAAAATCCATGTACTAAACATCAACAATTTACATAATAAATCATACAACAAAACCCAATTCCACCAAAATCCCAATCAAAATCTTGAATGAACTTCAAAAGGCCTTTACACTGGGAAATCAAAAGGGAACGTCCTCAGTATCAGTAAAAACTCCCTCAAGGATTTTAAAATTCTAATATAATCATCCAAAATATATATATATATATATATATACTTCTCTATATATATATATATATATATATATATATATATATATATATATATATGACAAACTACGAATCCAACCCACAGTGACTATAAACTGACACACAATATCATAATGAAACACACGTAACCAACAAAAATAATATAAAAAAAATTCCTATACATATGAACCTATTGTATGAAAATGTGTACACTGTTGCAGGTATATGGATTGGAATTAAGCTATACAGAGAGGGGAGAGAGAGAAAGAAAAGCTGACCTGCTGCATTGCTGGCAAAACCTTTGCTCAAGGCCTGCAACAATGACTTTTCGAAACTTGGAGTGCATACCACAGACTTTGTGCCTAGAATAGTAAGCCTTAGAATCACTCAGATCTATCTGACACCCTTCCACTTGACACCTGGGTGGCTGGCCACCCTGTACCCCACCACCCCTCCCCTTCTTTGCCGGCACCGGTGGAGGAAGCCCGAAAGCCACCACTGGCGACGGCCCACATCCAGTTTTAGCCTGGACCCCACTGCCCACATCCTCAAAATATATTTTCTTGCCAAAGTTCAAGCTATTGAGTGAGTCTTGCGCACCAGAAGCACAACCCTTTTCCATTCTTGGTGTCTAAAACCCATTCATCACTGCCATGCCATCCGAGTCAAATAAGTAATAACTAGAGACAGAAATCCAATAAAAAAGTGTAAGATGCGATATTTTTTGTTAATCTTGATTTGGGTGTGTGCGCGCCTTTTTTGGGTTTCAGAGGCTAGTGGCGGAAGTGCACAGGTGTAAAGTAGACACCTGATAATGAGCCATAACGCCAGCTCGGGGATTGTGCTGAGTTTTTAGAATTCTTAAGCGACTCTGATCTGCAAAAGCAGAGAGAGAGAGAGAGAGAGGTGTTATAACTTTTAAGTATTTTTTGAGTTCTCAGAGAATCTTATACATAATAGAAATTATTTTTAAATTTAGAGAACAATTTTTTTATACACTTTAACAAGTTCTTTATTTTGATTCTTTATTTTATTTTTTTAATGAATATTTAATAATTTCTTCACATATTTTATTTAAATATAATTTTTTATATATTAATGACCAATTAATTCAAATGTAATTTGAAAATTTTAAATTGCAGAGTATTGAAATTCATAATATATTAAATGCAATTATTGTACATTAAGAATATAGAATGAATTTGACTCTCTAAATTTGGAGAGAAACACTCTCTACTTTAAAAACTTAAAATAAAAAGTCTCTTGAAAATTATTTTTAAATATTGACTCTCTAAAATAAAGAGTATTTTGTATTTAAAGCATCTCTTGAAGTTGCTCCACCACTTTATTTTTCCAGTCGCTAACTCAACTATTATTTTTGAAAGGAGAAAATTGCAATTGAGATCTCTAAACTTTGTGAATAAAATGTTTAAACCTTTTTACAGCTTTTTCTAAATTATGAGTGCTCGATTTTTGAGTTTCGGACCATATGAGTTCTACACCGTTTATTTTGTCATTAGAAGTACTTTTAAGGGTTGCTTTAGTAAATCACCCATTTTCCTTCTGAAAAATATATTGACATTACCATTTACCTATTCAATAACTTCTCAAAAACCCTCTTTTAACAATAAAAAATTTTAGTTGTCGTGTAGAAAATCATGAATGTCTCTATAACTATAGTTCCCAATTAGAATTATACTTGTAGACTCATAGTATAACTCACATGCACGGTATCATTACATGCATCGAAATTTGAAAGTTAAAAGAACTCTTAGAAACATAGAAAAGCAAACCTAAACATCCATATTTACAAAAACTTTCTCAATTCGTACCACACCAATCGAATCTACCTATACCCGTAACCTATAGGCCCTACATACACTTAAACCTACTCTACTGGTTTTCACTTATTTTTAGAAGCTATTTTTTCTTATTTGCAAGGTTAAATGGGGTGGTGGTGTGGGGAAGAAGAGAAAAGAGAGGTTTTACTCATATATAATCGTCGGTGGTAGTTGATACTCCTAATAATAGTAAAAGAAATAATATTGAAATCTTTACTTGTAGTATTCTGATATATGAGAGTGTGTGTGTCCGTATATATAACTAGGAAGAGAGGTCAAGTTCTAGGATAGTAAAGGAACGATTCGTAAAAGTTGCAATTTATCATGACGATTAAGCATATTTTATATAGAGTTAAAGAGACTCGTGGGTGGTAAAAGTAATTGATACAACATGTTTGATTACTAAGGATTAAATTATTTTGAATCTTTCAATAAATTATGCAATAAATTGAGAAAATCTATCAGTCCTTAATTTTTCATTAAACTTTTTCTGGAAAGTTTTTGAACTTTCAATATTGAATCCTACTAGATGAAGAAAATCTATTTTGCCATTATATAGTCGTAATCTTGCACTTTGTTTAGGTCTCTAAAAGTAATTTTGGTAATCAATTCCAGACTCTATATAAGTACATGAATGTGTAAAAGAAAAAAAGGATCTCTAACTGAAATCTCATAAGCACTTTTTTGACCCCCATTTTTTCAAATTAAAATAGGTGGAATATTATTTTTATTGAAAATGAGTGGTTGAAAAGGAACGAAATTTTTTTGATTTACGTGTCATATTATTTTATGGAAAATTGTGTGATCGAAAATAAGAGAGTAGAAAATTGAAATTTAATTTAATGGGGCCAAACAGGGGCTATAACTAATGCAAAGACTTCTTCAGTCGCAAACTTCAGTACAAATATACATCTTCCAAGCCAACTCGGATAAGGTATTCCTTGCATTTCAATTTGAACAAATTTCTTTTCTCAGCTTTTCCCAGACTCCAGGTCCTCTGGGATGAGAATTTACACAAGTCTTCATGCAAAAATTCTGTGAGCATGCTAAGAGAGTGCTCAAGGTCCTTTTCATCTACGATGGAAGCTTATATCATTTACAAGATTGTTTCAATTACATCCTTCAATTGTTTAAGAATGTGAGATGTTTTAAGTATCTTTATGACTTCCCCACAGTTCAAACCAGTATTTACTAAACAATCGAATCTCTCTTGAAGTCTAACTTCTTTGCCTTAAAACAATTTGGGAGCTCATTCCATTTTATTTGACTTATCTAGAAAGCCCAGGTTTAACGAGAACCTTAGTTTTCAGCTGATATTTTGCGGAACAGCGGAAACAAGGTACTTAACTCATTCCTTGTGGATCCGAAATTCAACAAGAACCCAATAAAAAATAGGTCGAGTGTCCTAATCCCTCAAGAAAAAGCTCTGGATGCAGAGTAATGAATCCTCCTAATTGTTCTTCAATGTAGCTCGTGTTTCTTAATAAGTGTAAAAGCTCAAGCGTACAGTTCCAACTGTAAGAATATCCTTCAAACATATGCTCCTCAAGCCAGTTGTATCCAATTCGTGTATTCTTCAACTTTCACAGAACCTCAACGAAATCCCAGTTCATATATCTCCACGAAAGACAAAGACATGAAGCATTAACCTTAGTAGCAAGAGACTGAAATAACCGTAATTGTTCAAAAGATTGTAGCTTTGAATGCAAAAAACCCACAATCATACTTAAAATCCAAGTTCTTCCTTAATAAATCTTTCCTATTTTATTTTGTGTGGTGCCATAATTGTTAGGTTTTGTGACTCAAATATGGTTAGGAGTCTTGTGAGATTGCGTATTTGATTTTTACTTGGAAAGGAAGATTGTATCCAGGTTGAATAAGGAAAGTAAATCCCCTCTCGGTTGAAGTTCTATGCACAATTATAACCTAATTTTAACAAATTTTCTTACCTTTTAGGACTCTTCTAGGGTTTGGAATGTGTCCTATAAATACAAGGCTTTTCTGTCAGTTTTGTTAAAACATTACTGAAGCATCTGTAATTTCTCTCCATATTGTCAGTTAATATATATTGTCCCTCTACGATTAACTCTATTTATTCTTCTTTGCTTTTAATCTTTTTTTAGTTGTGATCTTTATTATTTCATATTGTATCATTAATTTCATTCATTACAATTCCTCTAAGTCCAATAAGTAATATCAGAGCTTGGTTCTTTCTTCTGTGGATTTGTTGAAGTTTTTTTTATAGATGACTGCCATGAAGTATGACATCTCGCTGCTAGATCGCAATATAAGATTTTCTTTGTGGCAAGTAAAGATGAGGGCTATTCTGACGCAGTTGAATTTGGACGATACTAGGTTTTGAGAAGATGCAAACTAATTGGACAACGAAGGGATCAGAAGGCTTTATCGCAGATCCATCTTCATTTATCCAACAATATTCTACAGGATGTCTTGAAAGAGAAAATAACGGCTGCTTTATGGTTAAAATTGGAGCAGTTATACATGACTGAAAGTCTCACGAGCAAACTGGCTCTAAAGCAGAAACCATATTCTCATCGCATGGCTGAAGGAGGGTCACTAGAGGACCATATTGCTGTGTTCAAGGAAATAGTTACAGATCTGGAAACGTTAAAGGTTAAGTATAATGAAGAGGATCTGACCTTGATCCTGTTGTGTTCGCTGCCTAACTCTTATGCGTTGTTTCGGGACACTATTTTGTATAGCAGGGATACTTTGACTATAGACGACGTTTATGGTGCTTTGTACTCAAAGAAAAAGTTGAAGTATTTGGTTTGAGCTACATCGAGGGAAAAGGAAGCTCTTGTACCTCATGGTGGTCGACGGAGGGACAGATCGAAGAATAACTCAATTTGTTTTGCTTCTACTACAGATGTAAGGGATATATTTGGAAGGATTGCGATAAATTGTAGGCTAAAAGTATTTTAGCTTCAAATCGTGGAGCGCAATCTTTGACTTTAGACGAAACAAATGTAGTTGAAGATTTTTCAGAAGGTGGAGATGTGATGTTGACCGTGGTATCTGACGTGAAATTTAGGCCTGACAAGGAGTGGATTCTTGATTCAGCATGTTTGCATCATATGTGTTCCAGTCGAAATTTCTTTCAAACATATGAGGCTGTTCAACTGGGTGGAGTTGTAATGGAAAACTACTAATCTTGTCGTATTACTAGGATTTGTCATGTCAAATTTAGGTTATGGGATAGGACAGTCGGATCAATTGATCAAGTTCGATATGTTCCAGACCTGAAAAAGAATCTCATCTCGCTTAGTACTTTAGATGCAAAAGGATATAAATTCTCTGGTGAAGGTGGAGTCTTGAAGGTCCGAAGGAGTGTCCGAGTTGTATTGGAGGGATGAAAGAAGTCTTAATTGTACATCTTACAGAGAAGCGCAGAATTAGTTAAGAGATAGCTGGACAAGTTCAGTACCGTGATGGATATTCAGTTTGGTATAGTACCTCTTGTAATAGGCTCTGAGTTGGTTCAGAACATTACTTATGGAAGTATTGGTGATTTCGCTTTGCCACCAATTTCAGCATATACACTGTGTTCAGTTATTAGGGTTGGACTCATTGAGCATGGGTACAATGGTATTAGTGATGTATGTAATGCTTTCGGGATCGTTGAAAGTGACAGTTCTAGCAAGGGTCATTCTGATCAGGCATTTGGTGTGGTTTCTGCTACAGAGTGTATTTCGACCCTGTTTGATAAACATTAATTCCTTGGTGAAATTTTGGGAACCCGAGAGTAGGGCTCAGGTGTTGCTTGTGGACGCCGTGCAGAGAACGATGGTTTATATGGAGAGTTTTGGCAACTCTATTGAGGAGACTAGCCATTTCATTTCGATGCAAATGAGTTTATTTCTTAGGTGGAGAAATTTTGTGAAGCTCCGCTCATTGCATCGGAATATGAGTCAAGGTGGAGATTGTTACGTTTTGTGACTCAAATATGGTTAGGAGTCTTATGAGATTGTGTATTTGATTTTTATTTGGAAGGGAAGATTGTATCCAAATTGAATAAGGAAAGGAAATCCTCTCTCGATCGAAGTTCTATGTGCAATTATAACCTAATTTTAATAGATTTTCTTACTTTTTAGAACTCGTCTAGGGTTT